ATGTCTCGGGTTTCTCGTGATATATTTACCCAGGACTCGGTTCACCACGACCCAAGCTTTCCAAGGTAATGGAGGAAGGACGGAGGGAGGGAAGGAGGGAGAGAAGGAGGGAAAGAAGGAAGGGTAAGCTGGTTTGACCGACTTCTTCCTCTTCCCCTTATTTTTTTCTTTTTCTTTTTCTTCTTCACCCCAAATTTGACAATGTATTTTTTCTCTCTTAGTTACACAGCACCGAGTAGGATGTACAAGCATTATAGTCCGAGTAATTCCAACAGGGAACAGCTGTTCAATGACGAACCTGGAATGGTTATTTTCAGGTATTGACGAAAGACTAAGGCACGTTGATGGATAAGAATGCACAAGAATGGATGTGGAATGGATGTGGAATGGATGTAAAATGTACATTGATGCATATTAATCTCGACTTATGCATCCTAATCTACACCAATCTAATACCAACAGGCCAATCAATCATCGATCGTACCTGATTCAAATGCTTTGAACCTGGTGAACCCCAATATGATCTCTACCAACCGTGTCTACCGTGTCTATCGTGCCTATCGTGCCTACCGTGCCTTTCCATGTACATCCGACCGATGTACCTGGGTGAAAGATGCATGTGAGTAATTCCCACAATACTGACAATACCATGCGACAGATGGTCCATATCTTCAAGAGAAAAAAAAAAGTATCCAAATCACTTGGTAAACCACACACAACGCAATCCTACCCAACCTCTTCTTCTTAACAATCACAAGATTCGCAAGATTCACAATCATCTCGCTCCCTCTCCCTCTTGTTTCTACACCGTTACCTACCTTGGTATACCTATCCCTCTCCTTTCCCCTTCGTCCTTTTCGTAAAACATTCACAAAAGACATTCACAAAAAAACCCCCCATTCGCCGGAACTACCTATTTGAGATTATATAATGAATACAATGGAATAAATAAATCCGCGACCATGTTATCAGGAGAGCACAACACTCCACCAAGGAAGCACAACCTCAAAGTTTACCATTCAGGAGCCAAAGTTCAACAATCCTGAAACCCTGAAATCCCGAAATTCCTGTTCCTGTCCTGCTTCCTGTATTCTTCTTCATCAGCCAGCCAGAGAGACAACGCAGCCACTTTCTCTAGCTTCCCATCTAGTCTGCACACCAAGGAAAACGCCCGCATTATGGCACATTTATCAGATTTAATCGACCACATTCCAATATCGGATGAACAAGAACGTAGCACACTGAAATGTTGTTGTGGTCGCAAAGAGTGCGCATTTCTCCTTCATAATGGCGAGGTCTTGGATAAGTTGGAGGGAGATGTGACATTGGCTGCTCAAATGGGTCAGGTATGAATGATTTCTTTCCACGTTGTTTCTCAATTTTCTTGTGTTGATGTTACGATTGATCTTTGCTACATTCCTCAACGCAATCTTTCTTACTTTTGTCCCTTCACATCGTCAACCCTCAGGGGAAATTAAAGGTAGCAGAGATTTTACTTGGGGGAAGTGGATACTGTGACCTTGGTTCTTGGATTATTTACTTTTGGCCTCGATTTAAATTAATCTAATCTTCTTTCTTTGTTTACAACCCCGCGTTATCGTACGCGCTTATATATAATTAAAATGGATGCGAAGGAGTGGGGGCGCGGGAAATAAATATTAGGAAGATGAATCAATCATTGACTTTTGCTCTGCAGGCTTTGTTAGAAAGACATGAACATTATATGCTCGATGCGGAACGAGAACGAGCAAAGATGACGGCGAAGATCGAGCAGTTGGAAGTGGATAAGAAGGAATTGCAAATGCAGAATGAAAAGACGATTGAGGAGAACAAGGCCCTGCTAGATCAACTCGAAGGTCTCAATGATAGTTACGAGGAATCCGAAGTTCAGATCAAATTACTCGAGTCAACTTTACAAAGCACGCGTACCGAAATGAAACGTCTCGAAACTTTAGCTTCGAGAACATACCAACTAGAGAGAGATTTGGCAATCTTGGAGGAAGAACAAGAAACTTTACGAAAAACTATTGTACATACGGCTGCCGAAGAACGCACGGCGATATTGAGGTGGAAGAGAGCGGAGCGAGGACTTTGTGATTTACAGGATCAATTGGAGAGAATTGAACGAGAAGCACAGGAAGAGAGGGAACGACATGTGGAAATTTTGGGTCGTATGGAGAGGCAACGGACAGTTGAAAGAGAACTGGATACGGCTGCCTGTCGTTTGAAAGGTGCTGCTGCCGCTACATCAGGCAGAGGCAAGCATGGTACCAGTGTTGTCTCGCATTTTGTGAAGGATATTCTACAGGACAATGCGAATCTACAGCTTGGGATAGTGGAGTTAAGAGAGATGTTGATGAGTTCGAATGATGAAGTACAAACATTACGAGAACAACTGTTGATGCATCAACCGATGTATGCGGAGGATGTTGAGGATGTTGACAACGTAGCTCAGCAGCGGACATTAGGGGCAGAACTTGCGCCAAGCGAACAGGATTCCGAACAACGACCACAGGAACCACAAATTATTTCCCAAGCGCTTCACATACATCACCATTACCATATACCAAAGAGAGAAGAAGCGCGCAAGCCGAAAAAGAAGCGAACTTCTTTGAGTTCGGGTATTTTCCCTCCGCTCACTCGAAGTCCCCAATCTCCACGAATCTCGAGAGGCGCAGAGAATGCTATATTGGCTCAAACAGCAGTCACCGTCCCAAGTCCTATTAACACGAATCATCGATGGTCAGTTCAATCGAGTCAGTTGTCGGAATTTGCTCCTTCATCTGTGCCATCATCTCCGCAATCTATGTATCGAAGTAGTGCTCTATTCGATCGAAGTTTCGATATCGATTCATCGCGTCCGACATCGCCTACCTCAAGTATTGACCCATTGTCGCCTCGAGTTCATCCTTCATATCATAGAAAGCGTCCATCTGAAGTTTCAACCCGAAGCTTTTCTGCTATTTCTAATTTTCAACCCCATAATATAATTCACGAAGAAGAGGATGACGATGATTCTCATGATATTTCAGGCCTACAATTTACTGGAGTTCCTTCTCTTACGGATGATTCTACAAATCCCACCACTTCAGATGTTTCTGATAACACGATTGATGAGTGGATACCTCGTCAGTTTGGTCCTAGGTTACATCGTTCTCCATCTCATGAATCGATTGTTTCGATTTCGGGCATCGATATTCATACATTAAAAGCCCGACCGTCACAGTTAAATATGACCTCGGTCGGATCATTAATAAGACCACAATCTAGACTTTCAACTCCAACAATGACGTATTCTACCGAAACCATTACTGGTGCGTCTATGATTACAGCTCGACCTACTTTATCTCGAACCGGACATGATAGTACGAGTTATCTTCGTTCCAACATTGGGCACTCAAGCTCACCGAGATCAACAAGTAACGATCGAAGTTCCATTCGATCTAGCTCATCCAATGAAGGCAATAATAGTGGTACTGGTCTAGGAAAGAAAGTCGGCGGTTGGGTCTTTGGTCGTTGGGGAATGTCTCCTGCGAAATCAACAAATGATCTTAGAAGTTCCTCGAATGCTCACGTATCGGTTCCTCCACCGACTATTCGGGCTGTGAGCACACCATCTATTTCCATAACTCAAGAGCCCCTCAGAGCTATTTTGGGCAGAGCGGCGGGAATTAATCAGAAAGGACCGATTCCGGGGTTTAGACAAACGGAGAAGGCGCCTAGTAAAGTGGTGCCGGATTTGGTTGATAGAGATGCTTTGGCGGAGGTTTTGGAGGAATAATGGTATGGAGAGTTTTAAGTGGATGATTGAGGGAAGGATTAGAGTTCAACATGATAATATGGGATCGGAGTGTGGATATGGATACGATTACCTTCAGCATAAATGCTATGTGATGGGGAGTTTCTTTTGTTAATTTTCTTTGTTGAATTTAGAGGTGGATTTTATGAGTATGGTATTGTGGAGTGTATCTTTTTTCTTATATTTTTTCTTATCTATATATAAATTGCAAGGCGTTTGGTGGGATTATTGGGTGGCTTTTGGTTGGGATGGGATGGATTGGTTTTTGTATGGATACCCTATTTGCGTTTTGTGTGTATATTTTATCTTATGTTTCTTGTTTTTCTTTGGAGATTCGATGGATCGATGGATAGATAGATGGATTTGGTTGATTTATTAGTTGATTATACGAAGTGGGATGAGTTGAGATGCGATGGAGGAGGATTAGAAGTTGAGATCAGATAAGATGGTGTGGAATGGAATGGAATAGGCTGGGAGAAAAAGAAATGGATGACATAGGATGATGTGAATGGAATCAGAATACTGTACTGAGAACTTCTTTGGAGGGGATGTTGAAGATCAGATGTTGGATGTGATGTTAGATTGTAGTAGGTAGTAGGTAGTAGGTAATCACGTACTAGGTGGATAATTCATAATCTTTAAATTTATGTGGTCAGTCTTCATGTTTGAATTTCAAATTCTGGTTCTAGATCGTCGGGTGAGTAGCGGGATACTAGGTACATCAATCAGTGTATGGAAGTTCTTTTTTTTTCCCGGAGGGGGAGGGGAGGCGAGGGAAGTATCGTGTCATCTGTATTAAATATTACATGGAGAGAATACCTACCTGTAGCAAAGGAGATAGATAATGCACTCTTTCTACAAAATACAAAATTCGCAGTTGATTGTAGTACGGTGAGTATGTTATATTGTGCTATTTGATATCTGTCTATCTATCTCTGCTTGCTTTTGCTCTCGCTTTCGGCCCGCAAGTGAGCATTTTTGCTTCACGGAAGTAGAAAGTCGTGTTGAATGATATTAATCTCATCGCTGATATTTCATCTCCAATTTCCTCTGTTTCAACGCATCGCAAAATCCAAGATTATCGTTTCGACTGTGACTCTTCATCCGTATCGGTATCCAAACCCAGCGATGCAGCGAAGCGTGGAATCCGACTCCGAGAACCGAGGATCGTCGAAACCCAGTGCCCATTCGTCATCGCCCATTACCCATCAGTGACGTTCCATCTCTGCGACGGTCCCGCTATCGACAATTTCGAAATCGGTATGTCATCCACGCCCTGTTCTCTCACTCTCTCGCGATCCTGCTGCTTCCTGTCGTTAGTTGGATACATTGCTCCCCACAATCTCACTGTTGCATTCTGAGATGGTTTGCGAGAACTCACCGTCGTGTTCCCGGTTCCGGTTGCTTGCGATCGGGTTTGTGGTTCTGTCGTGCCCCGCGATGTAGATGTGCATGTAGATGCAACTGAAGGCGAATCTGCATTCCCGGGTGTTGTGAAGGTGTGAAGTGCACTTCCCCCCCGCTGATCTCCGGAATTTTCACAGCCTCTTGGTTGCATATTACCGGGAAGTGTTGCGGAATTGTAACTCGGATCGGTATTCACACTGTACATTTCTTGGTTTTCATATTCCATATCGCTTGTAGACATTACATTAGATAAAGCGCTACGGCTACGAACATTTCTCCTCGCTGTAAAGGTATCCAGACTCATAGCGGGATCCGGTAGAGGTGGATCCATATCCACCGCCTCATCATCAGCATCTACATTACTTGTACGGTTTGACCTTGAGAGTAATGTCTCGAAAGAGGGTTGATAGAGAGGGGAAGTCGAGACTGGACGACCCGATACTGCATCCATGGCGTTTCTTCGAGGACGTCGGTTCCTTCTGGTGATATCCTGTCTACGAGATTGATTTTCCGGACGCCGGTGTCTTCGGGCTCGTCTGATTTCTCGAGCTCTGCTGCTTGAATCGAGTCCTGAGGTTGCGACTGCGCGTGCTTCCTCAGCGATGGTGGGGAGGTGAGTATCCATAGCATCAGGTGTTAGGATGCCCAGGTCACGCGCCATAGCACGAACCGCATTGTTAATTCGAAGCTGTCGTCGTTGTGAAGAACTAGATGGAGCAGATAGATCGGTAGAATTAACTGTAGTATTTGTTGCTCGGACAGATCGGGGTTCAACCAAATCTGGATTTTCAGCTCGCTCAATAGCTCTTCGCTGAAGAAATGATTGTATTTGACGCTGGACAAATGGGGCTGGAGAACTAGAGGGGGTATCACCTCCTGCAGTATTGTATGTGGTGTTTTCGGGAACAGATTGCATGTCGATATCTTCAGAAGGGCGAGGAATGTGAGAATCTGGAAACAAAGTATCATTCGATTCGGGAGAGGGGGACGGTGACATCTTGGAGAATATCAGATTGGTTGATGTGATGGGAGCTAGCCGTGATCTATTTAAAAAGAAGAAAGGCTACCTTGGGTGGAAACTTTAAGGATTGTCTTGGATCGACGAACTTCGAGTCTGTGAGGAAATCGAGTTGAGGAGAAACTCTAGAGTTTCTCAAGACTGAAGTAGAGGTAGAAGTTGAGATTATAATGAGGATGGAAAAAAGTGAATATACTTACTCGAATAGTGTTGAGGTGAAGTTGACACAAATTCTACACCCAAAAGCTTTGCTGTACGTTCGTTCAATAGAAGATCACTCTCAATATGCCATACAGTCCTTTCGTCATGTTGAAATGTGTTGCAATAACAATAATCGGTAGGAAGAAATCTATACTGACTTTGATCCAAAGGTTAGAGAATTGAATGAACAGTGAGTGGTGTAATAAGCCTATTGTAATTCTAAACTGTTCGATCTGAAGTTTCCAGAAAATAAACTTAGTAACAATGCTGATGCAAATATAAGGGTCAATCATCTACTTATCATTCTGTAGATATATATGAGCTGCAAAATTAAAAGAAAACTTGCTTCGGTCTTTCCTGCAAGTTACAATTCAACTATTAAGGAAAGTGCAGCGTAAATTTATTTGACATTAGCCAGTCGTTCCTGCCATATTCAGATATCAGTGTTTATGTTGACAGCTTCGCCTTTCACCAAGTCACCAAGTCAGTCACGAATCATACTCTTCAATATTTTGAGAAAGCTTTAGACACGAATGAAAGATCATTTACTACATATCTAATATCAGTACAAAGGCTACTAGCAACCTTAGTAATACCGAGAGGTGATATTAAAGCTAGAAATGTCACGATCCTAGATATGCAACAAACATCCTGATTCAAACACGGAGTTTTGTTGCACGACTAATGCCAAACCAGACGTCCCTTTTCAAACCTATTCTTACATTTAGATTTATACCAACGGTATTCAAAAACACATGGAAATCTTCAAAAGAAGCAAGAGTTTGATAATCTTCAAAGGCTGACTTGATAACTCGTGTATTTGACGGTGGAGATGCAGGTAAACTGAGATTTTATGATTTCCAAGTGTTCTTACCGGCAGGATTGAGTTGAAGCTAGAGGGGATAGGGGTGTATCTTGCTCTTGTTGCACATCTGATGCTATCCTGACACTCGGTTGCGAAATCAAGTTTACTCCCTTTCGATTACATCATTCGCCTCAAAAAGATAACAGCCATTTTAACCAGAAGGAAAAATGGTACGTCGCGAGAGAATCGCAAAGATATAGCAAATCGTTGATTCTGTATCTTCTGTTGACGAGAGAATTGTGAGGGTTCGCAAGTTTCAAGGCTGGAATTTGGGTTCAAGTAAGCGAGCGAGGTATTGTTTTGTTGCAGATCTGATGGTGTTTCAGACACTCAATTTTAGATGCTCACTAAGATTTCCATATGCACCTCAAACTGTATAGAAAACTCCAGTCATATTTCGAAAATAGCCAAGGCACAGTATTACCAAATCTCAAAGATGCTGATGGAGCGGTTACTGGCTGACAACTTCCCAAAGACGAAATTGATGTGATCCCAGAGACTAGCGCTGAATAAAAGCTTTGTGTTAGTCACTTCATGACTTTCTTCCATATTTAAGGCTCTTCAAGCATGATTCGATCAATTCCAATATCGTCCTATAGGCAATTCCAATCCTTACAAATCTTAAAGGACGGATTTCGAATTGACCAATACATACTCTCGTAAAATCTTAGTAGCATTGCCTCAAGGACGAGAATAATTTTAGCATTTCCAATTTGGTATACTAGCTTTCCTATGATTTTTAGAGCTTTTTATTGAACGTGTACATCGCAGTTCCGGGTTACTAGCATTTAACACTGGGCTATGGATTTTGAAGCTGATGCACGCTTGGTGAAAGAAGAAGGACGATAGAGGGAACAAGTTGAACAATTCCACCAATTTTTTCTAATTCTGCGGTATAGGTAGAACAATAGTAGGTTAGAAAGAATTGATGCAATACGAAGCAAATGAAAACGCACAACGATAGTACTTTTCGAGATTACATCAATAACAAAACACAAAAATGAATGACAAGAGCGACGATTAGACACACATTACATCTATCTCTCCTGGGCCCTAAATAAATTGCTCCATAGCCAAGAAAGATAAATCACACAACTTGTCTCGAAAGAACTACCTCCATCAACTATTTACTCGCTCTCCTTGACAATCTGCTCCAACGTCTTCACATATTCATGAACCTCCTGTGCCCCAGTCAAGGTTATATCTCTCCTTTTACCCTCAACACTAACAACCGGTACACTGTCCACACCATTCCCCTCTGCCTCTCTAATCAAATTCTTCACATCCATCAACCCCTCATATTCATCCTCAATGATCTTCTTTGCTTCTCCTTCGTCCACTCCCGCTTCCTTACAAGCCGCAAGTAATGTCTCCTCACTACTAGGATGTTTCTCCTCTTGGAAATACATTCGGTACAACGCCATGACGATCTTATCCGCTGTCTGCGGACCACCACCTTTCACATCTTCTTGTTGGAAGTGTTGAACAACTCGGTGAGCATCGAGGGTATTGGCAACTGTACCACCGAATTTATAATCTATACCTGCGGATTTTCCATATGCAGTCATCAACTTGATATACATTTCCATCTTGTCCTCAGAATCTCCGTAACGGGATTTGCGATACCAAGCATGTTTATCTTCGCCTTCTTTGCTGGCTCCGGGATATAACTGATATGGTGAAAACTTGATGGTGAAGTTGACTTTCGAAGCTGCATCTGTTGAACGGACGATACGGAGTGCTGTAGCGATTGTTAGTAGATGGAGATGGGTGTATGGACCTGAGTGATTGTGGGGGCGGGGGAAAGGAGGAGACGACGTTGATCATCATCACGTGAGTGATATCCTTTCCCAATCCATCTCCCATATTTTGGATATTTGGGTATCATTTCGACCGACTTCTAATATGGAAGAAAAGCCCAATTCTTACCTTCATCCAATCTAAGTAACGTTGCTGCAGTTAGTAATCCGTATTCTCAGACTTCCAATAATATTCCCATGAAATATTGAATATCCTTACCTCTTCTTGGCAAGATAAGTCCTAATTGTGACCAACACGATCAGTCATACTCTTCTTGATCTCGTATTCCATCAAAATGTGCTTGGATAAACACCCGCATATGCAATGTGCTGATGGTGATAATCGCAATGAATCATGAAAAAAGGATAGAAAAGGAAGGAATGTAGAGGATTTACGGAGACGACTTACCATGGACAAATGGTATCAAAGGTAAATATGATGGTAGAATCGTACATGGTGTTGGCGAGAGTTCTGAATACGAGGTCTGGGATCTTTTCGGGGCGATGTTACGAAAGTGTGTTTGTCGTTGGACCCGGGGTTGTTTTCTGTGTGAGAATAGAACGTGGAATATGTTAATTTGAGATGCGAAGATTGGAAATGGAGGTAGTTGTTGTACCTTTTAAAGAGAAAAATTTGAGACAGTTCTTGACTTGTAGATTATATAATATGTATATAATTCATTGAAACGAAGGGGGCAAATGGAGGTATGATGTTGATGTTGATGTCGACTGTTATCTCACGCCATTTCTCAGTCTACTTCAAGAACTACCCCGCGATGAATAAGCGGATCAAAGTCTCGTGGCTAGCCAAACATATTTCAATCCAGCCACACCACTATCTTTCATCATGCAAACATTGTACCACCTGTTGATTTTCTTTCCTTCCCTTTCGCTCAAGCGACCGACAATCTTTTTCTGAATACCATCACTACAGAATTCTCAGAATGCCAGATACTGTGTGCGCTCCAGATGCAGTACAACCCTGCCAACAAATGGGTTATCAGAATGCCAAGGTATATTTCCATCTGCTCATCGCTTGAATCGATCCGTATAACCAACTCATCCGGTATGGATCGATTCAGCATCCAATAAATGGAATGATGACAAGTACGAGGCATTACATTATACCATGCCACTATTGATGAATCTTCGGCACAACTCGGTGTCTTTTCTCAACTTCCTTGTTCTTTCAATCAATATAGACAAATTGAATTCATGATACGAGAGGGCAAACAGGAGTCTTGCTAGAAATAGCCTCATGTCTGAGACATAAAAGGTACAAAGGCACGAGGAACCTAGCCCTACAGTCGGAAGTACCGAGTTTTGGGTGAGGCTTAGTTTTTGGAATCGTTGACTCGCGAGATATTATCATGTTTGATGACATCTGATTGACTATTTGCCCATCTCTTTTCTATGCTTACTTAACAAGACATTTCTTACTTTCCTGCCGTTTGTTCTGCTCAGAAAGACCCATGAAATCCCGCATCTTTCCTGCAGGGGATTAATCAACACGATGGAAAAACGCAGGAGCGCCTCGTCTCTTGGTCCCGCCTAAATACATTCAAAGTAGGAGGAAAGTTACCGTATTCCCATTTTGAGTAATATACACCTGCCAGTCAAGTTGATCAGCAGTTACTTCTTGCCTCCCACGCAATGTACATATAAAATGAAATCCCCCTCTTTCCCCAAGAGATTGTTATCTCCTCTTACATCCACGTACATATCACTTTCCGAAAGAGATATTAACATAGAACAGCGCATAGTCGCATCAAACCTTACTGTCTGTCGTTAATTTTCAAAATAAACAAAAACACCAATCATCTGCACAATCGTTTTTGTCTCACACTCAACACTTACTACAATACCGAGTACTCTTGGAACTCAACTCCGATATCTTGTGGATGGAAGTTTTGGTTACAACAATAATCAAATCATAACATACTGAATCAAAGATCGAAACAATGAAGTCGTTCGCTACTCTTAGTGCAGGAATTGCTGCTCTCGCTGGTATAAGCAGTGCTCAAGTTACCTAGTCAGTTACCCATCCGACCCTAGATCAATACCATAGATCTCCGCTTCGTTCGTCAGGCTCAACTGAATTAACATCACTGCAGTAACTCGACTACCGGAACCTTCTCGTGCCCTATTGCCAATGGTGCTTACTGCGCAAGTTCCTCTCTCGGTAGTCCTATCATCATTCGATGTACAAATGGCATTGGTCAACCGGGGAACTGTGATGATAACCTTGCCGGATACTTCCCTTACGGTGTAAACTATTCACCATGTTGGGAGACTAGTGACGAGAGTGGTGATGCTGCTTGTTCTAAGAAGTATGTTACTATATCCCATTCTTTCATCTCATATTATAGCTTTCGCCTTCTCTCTCATCGACCATGCTTAAACTGTCTCATCTCATTCATCTTTGACTTTTGATTTTGAACATCACACAACTAACAACTCATAGCTGTATCGTCCAAGGTGGCTCCGGCAACTTCAACGGTACATTCACCCTCCCCAACTGCACACCCATTCCAAACCCCTCCGCTACCTCATCTCTCAACGGTTCAACAACTACAACATCAACCGGTACATCAACGATTATTGAAGGTTCAACAACCCAACTCATGACTTACACCACAACCTTCTGTCCTACCTCCACTCCAGTAATTATCTCATCTGTCACTTCACCCACAGTCTCAACTGCTATCGTAATTCCTCCATTAATCACAGCCCCTACTGTCTCTATAACTCCTGTTATCGACCCATCATCAGGTCTTACCACTGTCATCTTCTCATCCGGTACCGCTGTCAGTACCGCTGTCGGAACTGGTGGCTCGGGAGGAGGTTCAGGTGGTGGATCAGGTGGTGGATCAGGTGGCGGATCTGGCGCTGGCAGCTCAGGAGTCCACAATGGTACAACTGGTGGATCAGGTGCTGGCGGAAGCGCAACTGCTACACCCGTTGGACCGACTAAAACCGCTACTGGAACTGGCGCACCTGAGTATACGGGTGCTGCTAACATTCTCAGTGCAGGAAGTCTCGCAGCTGCGGGAGTTGTGCTTGCTTGGTTCCTTTAAGTGCCTTCATGTTTAGGAAACGGAATGAAATGAGCATGTGGAAGAGACTAGGAACGAATATATGATACACTCCTTATTCTTGACGATGGTATTTATGAAGATGGTGGAGGACTTTTTGGCGATTTTTTACACAGTTTTGGACGATGGTTTTGGACGACATACATACACACCTACGACGGATACGCATGATATATTATGACTTTACGAGTCGACGACTCTCCTTAATGATAATTTCTATGGATGACGGATTGATAAGATGGATGTTGGATTTTTTGGCAGCAGGTTATACGAGAATGAGAAGGTTTAACGATTTGAGTGGGTATTCTCTTAATCTAGAGGGAAATGGGACTGGGGCGGAAGCAGGATTAGGAGTATGAATGGATATGCGAATGAATGCCGTGGGAGGAAGTGAGATGGAACGTGATTGGGGATTGAGGAGGCGGTATAGTTTAACAACTCAATGATATGATATACCAATGAAAAGTGGATGAGATTTATTTATGCGGTGAGAGTACCAAAAAGTCACCTTCTATATTCTTTCAATTGTGTGCTTCTGGCTTGTGTGAATATTGTATTGGGAGAGAATCTGTATCGCTCACTATATTTTACTACCGAAAACACAACAAGTACATGCATACATATATACATTTTGCATATAATGAATGGCAGATACTCCCAATACTAATACCAAGACCGATACCCAAACCACACGGCACAACACACACGACGAGATATGTGATGATAACAGAACAACAACGAAGACCATATAACATAACACAACACAACACAATGACATGAGAAAAAAACTAAGAGTTTTTTTAATCCACCTATTCATTTATTCATCTACGCACCCAACCAGTCACCCAACGAGCTACGTTACAACTCTACATTTTCAACTGCCACAAGTGACAAGAGCACAGCCTACAATACAGCCAGCAGGCCACCCATCTATTCCGTGTCCCTTACCCACCATCCGTCTATCCCCAGGTCGACCCCCTCACCTCATCTATCAAACTCCCTAACCACACCCACACCCACTCAACAGCAACATCAACACAAACATCGAAATCGTCACCGTCATCACCATCATCAGAGGAAAAAAAAAGGTACAAAACATTAATATACATAATTTGTTCATCTTATTCATGGCAATGCTATTCATCAATTCCCTATCATTCAATTCAATTCCAATCCGCACCCGCTTCCATCCTTTTGCAATGCATTGCATTCACCACGACCAGAATCTCCATACAAACAAGCTCTCTACATGCAACTAAGCTCCTTCCTGCAAACAAGCTTTCTCATCCCCACAAATCTTTTCCTCTCCTCCACCTCCACCTCCCCCTCCAACCCATCTTTTCTTAGTTCAAAAAAACTCCCAAACTACCAGTAAATAATTTCGTGAATGAAAGACGTCAAATTAAATTATAGTAGTGTTTATATGCGTATCAATGAATGCGCGGTCCGCCCACAAAAAGGATACTCCAGATGGTTCCAGCTTACAGCCCTGCTGCCACAAGAACGCCTGATTAACTTTCAGTATATCAAATGAAAGGCTTCGGCTAGAGTTATACGATTCGCATTATGCTTTTAAACGAATGAGGTATGTATAGTTGTTGCGCAGTAGGTATGCATCATGGAAAGACATGTGACAAGAAAAAAATAAGAAAAGAAAAATGCTCCGGCCGACCTCGCTGCTATGCAATAAAGGACAACTTTAAACGAAGGAAAGGAAGAAATGGCAGTAAAGTAATAAAAACTCGTCTATTCGTATAATCCGCTCCTTATGTACCCAGTGAGTGGTATGAATGATTTTTTCATTCTCAACACTTTTCGTTTCATACATTACATATTCTATAATGCTCGCCGACTACTCATCGCTGCCGATGCCCCCGCTGATGCTAAATCCTGTTTCGAGCTTACACTTCGTGTGACTCGGGGCAAGCTACTACCACCAGAAATTGCCACGGTTCCAGTACTTGTACGTTTTGGCCCAGGAGGTCCAGTCAATGTTGTGGCATTGGATTGTCTTCGAGGCGGAAGAGCTTTACTTGGACTTGTCCCAGCTGCGGGTGGCCGAACAGATGAACCACTCTTGTAAGCAGGCGGTTCTGGAAGGGGTCTATTGGAAGCAGGTGCAGCAGTGGTATTGTGTCGCTTTATTGGTGAGTCGATTCGAGTATTAATACGAGGTGGAGGAGTAGCCTTTTGACCA